GCCTGTGGATGACCAGGCAGCCACGAACGACGGCCGCATCCCTTCTTTTCTCATCGGCTTTAAAAAAACTCATCCGTTGTTATTTTATTTACGACCCTTTTATGGTCTTAAATGTCCGGACACCGCATCTCCCGCAGGGTATCTAGCAGCGTGTGCCGTCACGGGTACACCGTATTTCCTAGAGCTCTGCTCACCGGTGGACATGCCCGGAGAAGCTGCGGTGTGCGGTGCGCGCTGCGGCTGTGCCCGGCAACCACAGCCCTCTGCATCAGCTCCGTGGCAGCGGGAAAAAATGCTGGGTTTTGGCGTCCGATGTATTTTCCAGCTTCTCTCTCGCCATCTCTTCCTTTTTACTTTGAGAAGCGGATGCCAGAGCTGGCTTAATTCAGAATCTTTAGACCTCAGTCAAACTAGGTAAAGGACAAAGCACGCCTGCAACTGAACTTTCAAGAATAACATTTTAAAATGCCAAGCACTTTTCTGCTAAATGAGGAAAGCATTGAATTTTAATCTCTAGAACTGTACAGCAGACAGCTGCAGGGAGCGAACGGCGGCGAGAGAGCATAGCCGGAAAATGCATTTCGGCTCAGAAGCCTGCCCTCAATTGAGTTTCGCGGAGCTCCTTGCAATTTGCTGAGCTCTTGGCTTGGAGATCCTCTTGAAGGCAGCGGCCAGGAGGTCAGCGTAAATGCCTGGCTGGGCAGATAAATGGAAAGATAGAGGGAAGGAGCTGCTTCCGCAGCATCTCTGCATCTGTGAGTGGAAGCAGCAGATATTAGAGGTGGCAAACCCGAATACTGGGGGCAGCTCTGGCTCTTCTTGCCTTCTCCAGCTCTCCTCTTCCAGAATGCCGTGCCAAATTCCCGTTACTTATTGAAAACCCCCTTGGTGTCTTTCAGCAGAAAACAGAAAAGCGAAATGGGCCAAATCCTCATAACCAAAGACCCCCACACACACACACACCCCCACACTCCATTTAGACCGCCTGGCCGGGCTGCACTGCCCATCTCCCCCGCGCTGTGCAGCAAACTCCCCACCCCGGACGCACCCAAGCCCCAGCGCGCTCCTGTCTGCCGTGGCGGGGGAGGAGGAGAGGTGATTTCGGAGCGCACAGCACCGCCTCGTTGCGTGCCGGCACTGGTGTCGGTCCGGTGGAGCCCGAGGGCCCCTTCTGCCGCTGCTGGGGGTGCGAGGACCCTCACCCAGGCTGCAAAGCTGGGAAGGGCTCCCAGCACCCAGCACCCAGCGTGGGTCTCTCTCCGCCGCCCTGCGTGTCAGGATCCTATCCGGAGCGCCTTGGGTGCGAGGGATCTCCCTGTGAGCCCGCTTGCCTTAAATAGCACGTGGAGTTAAGTGCGTGAAGGTGTAGGAAGAAATGAGGCGGTAAAGACAAAGGGAGGAGTGAATTTGGGCGGCAGACAGGTAAACCCCGCGTTTGAGCTGTCTGGTGTAGTTCAGAGCCGGGATTCGGGAGCCAGCCAGACCCTGGCTCCATCTGCAGTCAGCGGAGGGAAGTAGACTCCGGCCGGAGCTGTGCCGCAAACAG